TTTGAATGTGTTTGCTCTTGCTTCTCTAGTTCTTTTAATTGTGATGTTAGGGTGTCAATTTTAAATCTTTCCAGCTTTCTCTTGTGGGCATTTAGTGCTATAAATTTCCCTCTACACACTGCTTTAAATGTGTCCCAGAGATTCTGGTATGTTGTGTCTTTGTTCTCACTGGTTTCAAAGAACATCTTTGTTTCTGCCTTCATTTCGTTATGTACCCTTTAGTCCAATCTTATCCTTTCTCAACACCCATTCTCCGTGACTTTCTATTGCCTTCAAGATAAATCAGAATCTTTGTACTAAACGTGAACCTACCTCAAAGACACATCAAAGTGTGTGGTTTCCTCTTCATTTGTAAGCTCATCCCCAATTGTTCACTAATAATCTTCTCTAGCCAAATAATATGTTACCACTTATGCAACTGTCCATCTTTCTTTTTCAACCCTACTGATTTTTCAGTGTTCCAGCTTTTATAGCTGTAAAATGAATTACCTGAGAACTTAGTGGTGTAAGTAAACATTTGTTATGCTTACTAATTCTGTGGGCCAGGATTTGAAGAGGACATGGGGGACAGGTTGTCTCTGGTCTTCAGTGTCTAGGGCCTCAGCTGGATGACTCAAATGCTGGAGGCAAAAGTCATCTGGAGGCTACTTCAATCACAAATTTAGGGGTTACACTGACTATTGGCTGGGGGCCTCAGTTCCTCTTCACATGGGTTCTGCATGAGAGTCTCCTTATGTGGCCTCTTTGCGTAGGCTAATTTGGGCTTTCTTACAGGATGTTGGCTGATTTCCCTACAGTGGCTTTCCCCAAAAGAGAAAGCCATATGGAAGCTGTATCCTTTTTTATAACCTGGCTTCAGAAGACATATAGTATGATTTCCACTACACTTTAAGAGTTGGAGGAATCACAGCCTACCCAGCTTCAAGGAAAAGAGTAAATAACGTCTACCTCTTTGTGAAAAGTAGTGAGATCCCAGAAGAATATATAGGACCAGAAATATTGACGTGACCATTTTTTGTTGGAACAATGCCACAGTCAAGGACTGTAGTTTGTATCGCATGTGCTCTTTCAAACTCTCCCAGACTATTATAGACCATACCAACCTTTATTCATTCTGAACTCTAAAATCTGTGATCTCATTTACAACCAGTATATTTCTTTGAATTGTTAACCTTCCATGTGTATCTGTTTTGTCTCCCCGACTATACTACTAACTACTTCAGCACAATAACCTCATTTTCCCACAGGAAAGTAAGGTCTGTATTTTTATTTTCCACAGGACCTAGCGCAGAGCTTTGGACATAGTAGGAGCTCAATAAACAGCTAGATTAAAGTCAGATAGATTTAGAATGAAATGAGAGATATCACTTTTATGCATTATAAGTGAATGTGGTAGATAGTGTTTGGAAGATGGGAATGGGTGAGGCAGAGGATAGTGGATACAATATTATAGAAATAAGCGAGAAAGGATCACCTGGTAAACACAAATAAATGTGTTTATGAATGAAACATGAAAGCTTAAATGTAATAAGGCATGATGTCAGTCAAAGGAAGGTACTTTTTTGTATCTTGTTTAATTTCAAATTTATATGTATTTTAAAACTCATTTAAGTAATCTGAATTATACTAATTGAAAGCATTAAATTTAACTCTGCTGGCATTTAAGAGTTGACCAGATGAATGTATCAATAAGGGTAAATATCATAACATGTATTGTTATATTTAAAATTATAATATTTGTCAAATGTGTTTAGCTATATTTTAAAAGCATTTTTTTGTTTGGATTTATTTGCTTTTAATTTTTTTTAACTTAAAAATAATGCATTCTGATAATAGCAAGCCAAGTTATATAAAGAAAACCCAAAAGGCTTTTTCTGCATTTCTATATTGAGGATTCCAATTTTGGTTTGGTATGTTTTCACAGCTTTTTCCATGTTCATTTTGTATACTTTCCACTGCTTATGTGTTATTCTTCATATTTATTGTTCATGCCATAATTTATTATTTTTAAATATGCAAGGTTCATGGTTATGTCAACGGTAATTTCTCCGTGTGATGATTATGGGATCTGAATAATAGTTGTTGTTTTAAGAAGCTAATTCTTAGACTTTGTGGCAAACTGGTAAATTTGATATTTTAATTCAAAGTTGAGATTTTTAGAGATACAGAAAACAAAGTGTTGACAGGGTAGGTTAAATTTTTCAGGTGAAAACTCTATCTACTGTATTAATTTGTTCACATATGAGAACATGTGGTAATACTATGATAGTGCTACATAAAGCTTTATAACTATTACTAACTAAAACACCAATGCTCACCAAATAACTTTCTGGGATCTCAGCCTTGTTAAACTGTTCTAAAGAATATGTGTAATTTACATTTTACTAACCATTGTAAAATTTCATACACTGAAAATTATTTGGACATAAAATTTTCATATGGATGGTAAATGAATAGCATATTGTCTTTCCAACTCTCCCCAATCTCAGAAATATTTCAGCCTTGGACCATGAAATGAAAGGAAGGGAATAAAGATTGGTCAAGTGAAAATAGTAAAGTTCTGAATTCCTATCTATAATAACTCATTTTGCCAGATCCCATTCTGTAAAACAGTTAAACTCATCTCTACTTATTATACATCTATGAGACTGAGAACTAATTTCCTTTACAGTCACTGGCATAATTTTTTTTATTTCAGATATTAATTTAAAGACTCTGCCTATGTAAATATAACCTACCTGAAACTAAAATGATTCTTGGTAACATACTCAAAGTCACACATTTACATGTAACTATTATGTATTTTAGATGGCTGATCACACTGAAGTAATGAAAGGCATTCATCAATATCCAGGAGTTCGCTATCCTGTCCTTACTCCTAATCTTCAGGGTTTTCACCGTGCTGTAAGTGAGCTACTTATATTTCTAAAATTGATATGCCTCTTACTGTTTTAAAGATATTTATAAAGTTAAAGTTGTATCATGTGTAACTCACCTGTAATATAAATACTATGCTAATGTACTAACATGAAGACATAGAGCTCCATGTCCTCACAGCATTGCTGGAGACTAAAGTGGTCTATATAGCTGGCTCTTCCAGCTTCACTGTTCAAAAGTCAAAACACAAAAGTAAAATTCTGCATTTTTGTGAAATTTTTTAGAAGTGTATTTTGTGCTTCTTCTTAAGTAATATAGAACACTATTTAAGCATTTTTCAATGTAATTTGTATAGTTATTATTACTGTTGAATTTGGTAATTATTTTTGTCAACCTTTGTTGATCAGCTTTTTGTGTCTTATTTTCTCTCTCTGGGTGAAAACTAATTGTCATGTTATCTGGCTGTAGTTACTTTTCCTGTTTATCTTCTGGTTTGTTTCTTTTGATCCTCTGTGAGTTAAAAATTTATATAATTTAAATAAAGCTTTAATAATTATATATATGAGACGATCCTCTTCAATTTTAAGGTGTTATCCTTATATGGGCTTATTGCATAGGTTTTACAGCAGCTATTTCTGATATTAATGAATATTAATGAAAAATATTCATTATGTGAAACTGTATTATGTAAAGTTGAGGTTATGGGGTATTAATCACATACTGTATTTTGTTAGAACCATTTATTTTTCCCTTGGGTTTGATTTGATAAAATTTTTATTGCATTGTTTAAAAAGTCATTTACAAAATTGTAAATATTGGTGTCATCTACTAATCCTAACAAAGTAAGAACGTATCTTACTCTGAAGAAGGTACTGAAAGGACACTCTCATGTTAACTCAGAGGGGCAAGCACTGGAGTGGAACTAATCTTGACTTGGGCGTCAAGCAATTCTGTGCTCAAAATGTGACTCCAGAACTTTTACTCCCTGTGTGATATCATGCCAAGTATTTACCTTTTTGTGCTACAGCTGTTTCATCTATAAAATGTGCATAACAACACTTAGTTTACACAGCTGTTTGTAGATGACAAAAAGCATATCCATAGTACTAAAAACAAAACAGACAAATAGTAGATGTTCACTAACAGGGTTTTTATTTTAGAAATTGGAAATTTATTTTGGATACAGGCATAGAAGCCAATATTTTTTAAATGTTTGAGGAAAGATGAAAAGATAGCTTTTAGGTTTTTCTCTCCCCATGTATTTATTTTACTTTATTTTATTTTATTTTATTTTATTTCATTTTATTTTATTTTATTTTAGAGATGAAGTTTGGCTCTGTCACCAGGTTGGAGTGCAGTGGCGTGATCTCGGCTCACTGCAACCTCCACCTCCCAGGTTCAAGCGATTCTCCTGCCTCAGCCTCCCAAGTAGTTGGGACTACAGATGTATGCCACCATACCCAGCTAATTTTTGTATATTTAGTAGAGATGGGGTTTCACCATGTTGGCCAGGATGGTTTTGATCTCTTGACCTTGTGATCTGCCTGCCTTGGCCTCCCAAAGTGCTGGGATTACAGGCATCAGTCACCGTGCCTAGCCTCCCACCATGTATTAACAGGGGATTAGCAAGAGGGGAGAACGTAGGCAAAGTGCTAGAAATACATTAACGGAAGATCTTAAACATCTAGCTAAACGACTAAGAGGCTTGACATTTGAAAAACAAGTCACTGGAGAGCCTGGAGGAAGGAATAAAATTGACAAAAAGTACAAAAAGGAAATTGATTAGATTAAATATTTTGGATTTAAAGACTGGCAAAAGGATCAAAGCATTAGGTACACAAGAGTATGGCTGTAGAAATCAGGATACAAAAAAATAAAAGCTAGATTAGGAGATCAAAGAAAAACGGGGGGCAAAATCTAAATGATGAGTTGGAAAAATATTTTTCTGTTGGATTGTAGGAAGAGAAGAAAAACAAAGTATTTAATATCTTCCATTTTAATAATTGGTTTGAAAATATTTTTTCATGGAGGATAAGGGTTTTATTGGGGTGCTAGTATTTTCCATAATTGGGGTTACAGTATTTCTGAAGATAATACATAATTTATAAAAGGCATGATTAAATAGAACATCCTCATTGTGTTTTTGTGCCTCATAGACTTAGGAATATTGCAGTTTGTGGATTATTCTGTTACTATAAAATATTCTTACATTTTGAAAGAGTATATGTGGCAAGATGAGAAGAATCCAATTTTAAATTCTAAGGCAAATATTAAAGAATACATGTATGCCTTCATAAAGTAGTTAATCTTTCTTCTACCACTACCATTCACATTTTTGAAATTATTAGCTTTGGCTTTAAATTATGTTTTTCAGGTTGCTGCTGGAGCTACTGAGATATCAGTTTTTGGAGCTGCATCTGAATCCTTTAGCAAGAAGAATATTAACTGTTCCATTGAAGAAAGTATGGGAAAGTTTGAGGAGGTTGTTAAGTCTGCAAGACACATGAATATTCCAGCACGAGGGTACTTATGAAATCCCACAAATTCTGTTTTGTTAATGTTTATTGTTAAAGCTTACTCATAAATTATCTAGAGATTCTTATATCATTTATAAAAATATACATAGAATATCGTATTTCTGCTTTAATCAGGGCAATCACTATATAGTTACATCTCATTAACATCATTGATGATTATTAGTGAGTATCTAGCTTGTGGAATGTGTAATGCAATTGAAATCAGAGGAACTAGCATGCAAATCTGGCATTATTAACTATTTTATTAACACTCTGTCACCCAAATGCAGCCCTCTCATCTCAGCCTACATGTGCTGGTAAGTTGGTATAAACTCACAACATCTTTTGGAAAAGAATTATATAATGTGGTTTTCAAATTTTTTTTAAAAACATGACTTTTTCTTCAAAGAGTATTTTATGTAGAACTTCAATAGAATACAGCAGACATAAAATTGAGCTGCTCTAGGAAATCATTTTACCCATTCTTTCTCCCCCTCAGTGGCTGACTTCTCTACTTCCTCTGGGTGATCCCAAAGCACCTCCAATAGCATCTTGCAGAACACCGTTTAAAAATACTTGATAAATTGCTTATAGAAGATAAATATAAACTTTCAGTTCTCTACTATTTTCTATTATATATGATTTCTGTAAATTTAGGGGTATCAGAGATATCAATCCTTTTCTCCTCGCCTTGCCTTTTTCTTGTAGAAACTTATCGGCTGTTCATTCTAAGAGCTGTTGATTACAGGACATGGAAAAGAAAAACTGACCCAAATCTAACTTCCACAAACCTAATTTTCTCTCTCAGGAGTTCAGAAATGGAATACCAAACATAGTTACTTGTATTGAAAAATTATGTGATTTTTGTCACTGAGTTCACTATTTTGGGGTTCCTAGGATGGAGCCACATGCAAATCAGTGACAGGACAGAGTAGTAGAAAGCGGAAATGGAAAAAGGAGGCTCCTAGCGTGATGAGAGATATAGAGGGAGGAAGGAGAGAGGGAAAAATCTGCCTTGGTGCTTGACTACTTCCAGGACCAATAGTTGCCTCAAGTATTATAACCAGGCCTGTGTGCTGTGAAACCTATAATGCATTTTTGTGTGTGTTTGTTACTTAAGGAAGAATGTTTCTAAGACATTAGCTATTTTTTTCTATTAATTTCATACATATGGAGATATGATGAACACACATCTTAACAAGTTAACACGTATAGAGATTGGTAATAGAAGGTTGAAAGCTGGGGATGGATTTGGGTGCAGGCTGTACTTCCCTTAGTTGAGGTGAGCAAAGTTCATAGTAGCAGGAAAGATTCATCAGTTAATGAGAAAGACAAGCGAGTCAATTTTGGCTGACAGTATTATTGAAATGATTGGAATTTCAACCAAGGTGTTTTGGGGAAGCAATTAGAGTTAGACTATACCTAGTAAAATATTTTGTTGGTTTGTTTTCTATTTATAATTTATTTTTCCTGTCCTCCATAGTAAGTCTACATGACTTTCTAAAATTTGAAATTACTTTTGTAATTAAGATAAATACATATCATGTAAGGACTATATGAGAAAAATATAAAATCCAAGATAATGTATTTCCAAAGACATAAAATAAAGGATATCTATTTTTCAGGCAAAAGTTACATAACCACAATCAAAAAGGAGAGATATGCTATCGGTTTCTCAATTCAAATATAAATAAGTTGTCTCAATTTTTTAAAAATAAAGAGAAAGATGAAGACCCTATTCTAGTTCAATATGTGTTTAAAGTGTGGAGTACAAACTTTAGAATAAAGCAATTCTCACTGGACAGTTAAAAAGCATGTGACTAAAAGAAGTAAAGTGCTTATGTGGCTTGCTCTTCAAAAATAGGAACAGTTTTTTTAGTGTTGAAGGATGGATGCAAATATAAGTTGTAGGAAGTAACTTTTTGTCATCTTAGCTTTCTCTTGTAAAATGGAATAGTTAATATAATTGGGCTAATAAAAATCTTAAACCCTCTTAATACTCATTGTTTGACAAATAATATTGCCTCATCAGAAAAATGACAACTTCTAATCGTGCTGTGGCTTAAAAAGCTTTCCAGGCTTTGATGAACAAGAAGTGACCCATGGTCAAACCAAATGAGCAGAGTACAGTGGAGACTTTAGTGTAGAATTATACTGTAGATACATGTATGTTTTCCAATGTGGATTTTGTTCCTTTGGAGTACAATTCCTGAATTTTCTGAAACACTGTCATTTTCAGAAATATGCCTTTCCATATTTGAGTTCAGTAGCTATTTGTGTAGTTGAAAATATCTTCTTCCTCCCCACAATTTATACAAAGTTGAAATAAGATTTTATTTTTACTGGCAATCTCGATTTTAGGTATTCACCATTGTAAGTTATAAGCCATTAGTACCTATTTAAGGAAAGGAGCCATGTTCAACTAGTTGAAACTGCAGTAGATGCTTCAGCATGTCTTGCGTGGCAACAGCTGCATCAACATATACTTGAGAATCATCCAGAAAATTTACGTCGTCAGTTGTCAGCTTTAAAGGCCATAAAGCAGTAGACATTTTATAAAAGCTCACTAAAACTATTTCAATTTTTATAAAATAGTAAACTTTCATATAGTCCAAATAGTAGCTTTTATTACAGTTATGAAGGCTATTGTTAAATTCCGCCACACACGCACTGAAACACACACACAACACATGCATATGTACACATTTTTAACACATGCTGAGAACTGTACATAACATCTGGGGCACATTGTGAAAAGATACTATGCCAAATCAGTGACATAAAATGCAGAGTCAGCTAACTACTGGCACATATACATTATATGTGAATGCAAAATGAAATATCTGCAGTATGGATTTTATTATTTAAGGTGCAGTCCATGTGACTTTTTTTAAATCTAGATAATTTTTCTAATAACTGTCTAAATTTTAAAAGGTTCAGAAGGCAAAGAAAAATAAAAGCCTATGACAAATGTGATTATTTTCCTTTTATCAATGGTATTTATTGAAAGAAATATCTATTGGCTTGCTAGGATCCTTTTAAAATTGAAATTCTTCAAGATAGGAAGTAGTGCTTTAATATATAAGATGTTCGGAATTTATTATTTTTTGTCTAAAGTGATTATCAGCTTCTCTTTATTGAAATGACATTAATCACATGCTCACTCTTTGTGAGAGTGTTAATTTGAAAAGAAAATTCTCAGTAAGTTGCCATTATTAATTTCAGAGTTAAAATGATTATAAATAGAACGTATAAAATTACAAGGTCAGCAGGTTTGTATATTAAAGCATAAACCATGAAAGTTTCTTTACATAATCACATCTTATACTTCTCATATAAAGTGGCCTGGAATCATTTGATTTGTGATTAACCTTCTGAAAGCTTATACTGAAAGTTCAAAGAAGAGTATATTTAACAATTTTCATAGGAGCCACACAAAATTATTAATTCATCGTTTTAACAATTATAAAATTTTAAAGTGAATTGTAACAGGTTGAATTTTTTTTCAACTAATACAGACAAGCATTGATTACTTTTAGATACAGAAAACAAAGACAATTGTCAGGTGTGATAATGTCATATTTTAGTCATAATTTATTAATAAAATGAGCTTGGTATTTAGGAGGAGGTAAGGAGTCAGATTTTCCTAGAACTGTAATTAATCTAGGGTTTTCATTTTATCCATCTCTTCCGCTACTATTTTTCTTACTATTGACTTTCTTCTTATCCAAAACCAGTGAAAATTTAATTTAGTCTTAAATGCTTCCAAAAGGGATTGCATTACATATAATCATGAAGAATTTCTTTGATGAAAGATCCTTAATGTAAGGAACTTCTTATTTTTTTATTTCTTATTTCTTCTTCTTCTTTTTTTTTTAACTGGTTCAGCTCTATGTGATTCTCGTCCTTTAAAATGGCAATATTCCCAAGTGCCATGAAGTCAGGGCACAGTATTCTCCTTTAAAACACTATTTTTTCCCTTTGAGAGATAATTTATAACTAAACACATTTATTCAAAAACTTGCAACCTACTTGCTGAGTTAGCTACATCATCTAGGTCACATTGCATTGAGTTTGTGTTTCCTGTTCTCCTTGTCTAATGTAGAATCTCAGTATGGACTCAGATCCTGACCCTGAAGATAGCAGTGTTACTGAGTGAGATAATGAGTCTCCTTACTTAGGGCTCCATTTTTAAGTACACTGTGACTAGTAGCCAGCATTTCTTATGACAGAGCATCAAATCCCTTCCATTGGATGATCTGCCTCCATGGTACACTTGCATTTATAGCATCATATTCTTGTAAGTGGGCAGCAAGAAGCTGCCCGCAGAAGTTCCTTTCCAAATTCTATTGTTCAATTGAGGCCTAGGTCTGGAAGAATGATTCAATCATTATGTACCACCAAAATATGGTACATAAAACTCTAAAAATAAGACATATGTTAAAGCTATTTTCTTTCATACATATGGTTTGTTTAAGGGTTTATACTTTTAAGCTTTATATATTATTCTGGCACTGCTGTGTGCCAGAATAGCACATACCCAGCAGCAGTTAATATTTGTAAGCTGGGTTTGTGCAGTTGTGTCTAAATAGCTTTCATTTAGACATTTTGAGGTAAGAATGTGTTTAATCATTTCTCATGAAATTAGCATTAATGCTTTTTTGTTATTAAATATTCTCTTACTAGACTATACCTTACCATACCTGGGCAAGAAGTAGAATTGTAATTTATGCAAATAATTTCAAGAAAGTTAATGGTGTCCCTAAGGTGTGAAATTAATTCAGCACAGATAGTGGTTGAATGGTATATGTTCATAGTCCATACAGTCACTTACAATAATTTAAAATTATTGTTTACATGCTTTTTCTTTCATTATATATGATGTCAATGTGAAACAAGCATGTAACAAAGTGAATTTAATAAATATGAAAAGAGAGTTGTGCAACATATGAAATAGAAAAATGAACATTTAGAAGGTTTTATCATGAGATTAACTTTGCTATGAAT